TATCTGAAATCCTAACTACTCAGGAGACTGAGATCTGAGGATCCAGGATTGGAGCCTGTCTGGAAAGAAAAGTGTGAGACTCTTATCTTCGATTAACCACCAAACAAAAGGAAATGGAGCTGTGGCTCAAGTGTAGAGGACTGGCTGTGAGCACAAAAGCCCAGGGACAGGGGCTGGGAAGGTGGCTCAGTGGTAGAGCGCTTGCCTTGCATGCCTGAGGCCCTGGGTTTGATTCTGCAGCACCACATAAGCAAAAAGAAAAAAGCCGGAAGTGGCGCTGTGGCTCAAGTGGTAGAGCGCTAGCCTTGAGCCGAAGAGCTGAGGGACAGCGCCCAGGCCCAGAGTTCAGGCCCCACGACTGGACCAAAAAAAAAAGCTCAGGGACAGTGTGTAGGCCCTGAGTTCAAGCCCCAGGATGGGCACACATGCACACACATGGAATTGGAACCATACATATACTAAGTATTTTCCTGTACACATGTACCCATGGCCAAGTTTAATTTGGCAGCAATCCCCCTTATCCAGTTTCGCTTTCCATAAATTCTAAAAACAGTGTTTTGAATTGCATGTCATTCTCAGTAATGTGATACAATCTGTTTGCTGTCTGCTGCATCCCACGCCGTGTGCACTCCCTGCACACAGCACATGCACACTGCATACATCCATCCGCCAGTCACTTGGGAACCATCCTGATTATCAAACCAACTGTGGCTACTGCTGGGTTTTAGTTCAAGGAACCCTTGTTTTTTTAATGACAGTCCTAAAGTATAAGAGGAGCGATGCTGGAATTCAGCAATACAGAGAAAAACCTTCAAGAACCGTTGAATGAGAAGTTGAAAGTCCTCAATAGAGAGAATAAAAAACATACACTGAGGTTGCTAAGATCTACAATAACTAATATTGCTAATTTCTTTATTTTCTTTCATCTTTTTTTCTTTCTGTGCTGGTCCTTGGGCTTGAACTCAAGGCCTGGGCACTGTCCCTCAGGTGATTTTGTTGTTATTTTTTAATGAACTTTTTTTTTTTTGTTCAAGGCTAGTTAGTGCTCTATTACTTGAGCCACGGCACCACTTCTGGCTTTTTGCTAGCTAATTGGAGTCTCATGGACTTCCCTGGCTGGACTGGTTTTGAACTATGATCCTTCAGCCTTCTGAAAAGCTAGTATTACAGCATGAGCCATGGACACCTGGCTAATCTTCCTACTTATGCCTCCCACTCAACAAGATGACAGGCACATGGCCATCTCATTGGTTGAGATGGATTCTTAAAACCTTTTTCCTCAGGCTGGCCTCGAACCTTGAACCTCTTGATTTCTACCTCCCAACTAGCTGGGATTACACGTGTGGATCTCAAGGCAAAGCTAATACATTTTTAAAGGCCATTAAAGCTGATAGGCATAGTTCTAAATGTATAAAAGTCAACTTTATAGTAATATGCTAAAGGTTAGAATTTTTTTGTGCCAGTCTCCTAGAGCTAGAGAACTCAGGACCTGAGCACTGTCCCTGAGCTTCATTGCTCAAGGCTAGCTAGTGCTCTTTCACTGGAGCCTTAGCTCTACTTCTGGCTTTTTGATGCTTGATTGAAAATAAGAGTCTCACAGACTTTCCTGCCTGGCCTACCTTTGAACTGAGATGTTCTTATCTCACCCTTCTGAGTAGCTAGGATATCAGGCATGAAATTGATTTTTTATGTGTGTGTTGGTCCTAGGGCTTGAACTCAAGACCTGAGCACTGTGTCTAAGTTATTACTCAAGGTTAGTGCTCTACCATTTGAGTCACTGGCCCACTTTCAGCTTTTTGGTGGTTAATTGGAGATAAAAATCTCACACTTTCCTGACTGGGCTGGCTTCAAACTGAAATCCACAGATCTCAGCCTCTTGAATAGCTAGGATTGCAGGAACCATCAGTGCCTGGCTTAGAAATTGAAATTTTAAAAATAACATTAAGCCAGGTGCTTAATGTTAATTACAGGCTCATGCCTGTAATTCTAGCTACTCAGAAGGCTGAGATCTGAGGATTGTGGTTCAAAGCCAGCCCTGGCTGCAAAGTCCATGAGACTCTTATCTCCAATTAACCACCAGAAAAAAAAAAAAGAAACTGGAAGTTGCACTGTGGCTCAAGTGATAGAGCGCTTGTCTTGAGTTGAAGAGCTCAGGGACAGTGCCCAGACCGAGTTCAAGCCCTACTACCAAAAAAACGCCCCCAAACAACAACAACAACACAAAAACATTAGCAGTGGCTAAAAACTGCAATATTTAGAGCAACTTAACTAAATATGTGGGCAGGGAGAGGTTGTTGCAGATTGCTTTTTGGTTTTTTGGGGGAGTGGGTTGGTTGTTGTTTTTGCTGGTTCTGGGGCTTGAACTCAGGGCCTTGGCACTGTCCCTGAGCCTCTTGGTACTCAAGGCTAGCACTCCTACCACTTGAGTCACAGAGTCACTTCAGCTCTGAGTAGTTTCTTGGATATGTCTCCCAGATTTTTCTGCCCAGGCTGACTTTGAATCACAAGCCTTAGATCGCAGCCTCCTGAGTAGCTAGGATTACAGGCATGATTACACCGATGCCTGGCTATGTTATTCTTGAACCCTGAAAACTACAATACATTGCTGAGTGGAATTTCAAAAGATATATGACAGCCAAGTTCAAGCCCCAGGACTAGCATGCATGCACACACACATAAACACACACACACATGAAATCTAGAACATATCGATGGGGATGGGCTGGAAGGAATTATATCTCTTGAAACTGATCTAGATTCAGCAAATGGTAATTTAAAATCTCAGATTTTGGAAGAGAGAATAATGGAAGGGGTAACTAAGAAGCACTGGTTATTTTTGGTAGACATGTTCAACTGTAATCTGAGTTATAAACCTGAGCTATACAAGGGATTAACATTTCCTTTAGTTCAGGATATCTTTTTATTTTAGTTTTTTTTGGGGGGGGGCGGAGTCTGTTGTAGTTGAACACAGGGCCTATTCCTGAGCCTTTAGGCTAGTGCTCTACCACTTTGCACCACAGATCCACTTCTAGTTTTTTGTGGTTAATTGGAAAGAAGAGTCTCACAGACTTTCCAGTCCAGGCTGGTTTTGAAGCGCAATCCTCAGATCTCAGCCTCTTCAGTAGCTAGGATTACAGATGTGAGCCACTAGCACCTGGCTAAAACTTAAGATTTTTATTGTAGTTTTATACAAAATCTTGAAATTGGGTACTAGAAGTCTTCTGCTTTCCACCTCAAAGTTGTTTTGACTAAATATCTACAGGTAAAATTTAGGATCAACTTGTCAGTTTCTATTAGTTTCATGTCATTCAGAAGGAAATTATATGGAGTCCACAGATTCATTTGGAGGGAAAGTGATTCTCAGGAGCATGAAGCCCTGTACCCATGTACTAACTTTCTTTACATACCTCAGGAATAATCTATACTTTCAAGTACAAGTCAAAATGCACATATATTCTTGTTTGTTGCTGTGCAATTGACCACATACACATACACAGAGGTACTAAATTAATTCAGTCAATAAAATGTGGTATTTTAAATAACTGACTCAGGATCGGCTAAGTAATGGAAACAAAAATCTTGACCCTCATCTTGCACCATATGCAAAGTAACTCAAAACATGTTTATAGACCTCAAGGGTTAAAACTATAACCTCTAGAAGGAAAAAAAAATGTCTATGACATTACTTTTAGAAACACATTTTTAGTTATTACACTGGTCTGATCTAAAAGTTTATGTTCCCCTACAATTCATACTGGGGTGATGGTGGGAGGGGGAGGGGAGGGTGTGGGGGCGGGACCAGAGGGTGACTCCAGGATGGGCTCAGTGCCCTCATCAGAGTCCTGCTGGGACTGCTGGCCCTTTCCAGCAAGTGAAGACACAGCGCAACCCACTTTATGAGTGGATCCTCACCACACTGAACCTGGGCCTTGACCTCCCAGTCTCCAGAACTGAGAGGGTAGACATTTGTTGAGCAATAGCTACTGTTACAGCCGCCTGAATGTGCCAGCAAGAAACAGTAAAACAACGAATTATACATCAGGAAAGTAACTCTTTTTCTTAGAGAAAAGTTAAAATGAGTCACAGCTAATATTTCCAAAATATAAAACATGTACCCACAAACTGATATGTGAAACTGAAATGCCTTTATACAACTACTTATTTAGTGTATATAATGTATCTATTACCTATATATGTGTTTATATGTGTGTGTGTGTATGCACACACACACACACACATTGTATATGTGTGTGGCATTTGCAGAATGCCTTTGTGCTGCAGTGCCCCAGCATCTTGGCTGAAGGCAGAGCAGCAAAAGGCTGCAGAGTGCAGAAGCCTAGGACTTGGAGCAGGGCTAACTAACTTTTCTGTTTGTCTTTCTCCACATTCCCTACCCTCTCTATAGCACATGTCCCTCCACAATTTTACAGGAAATGAAAACAGAAAATCTCTCTTAAGCATGTTTTTATTTTTGTGTCTATTGTTTTGTTTTCTATTTTGGTACACAGAAGCCGGGCTGCACTTACACGAACCCGTCACATCTTATTGCTCCCCGTAGTAAATCACCAGGTACCAGGTGTGGCTCTGTCTCTCTGCCTGTTAATGCTGCAATCTCTATTTCTATGAGCATAAAATAGAACATGTCTGAATCTACAGATGAACACAGAGGAAGGAACAGCAGCCAGTCTGTTGGGATAGGGAGACCGGTGACAAAGGGCTCTTGATGGTGGCTGTCTTTCTACATGGACCACATAAAATAACCCCAGAAAGAGCAGCACTTCTGGGGTAACTCTGTGGACCTCCATCCTGACTATTAGATCCCTCTGACCTTCTCAGCGCTAACATACCTTGGACAAAGGCCTAAGCTAACACCGAAGCCATGGAGCTCTTTGGCCCTAGGTGAAGTTAGTCCAGGGCTCCTAGTTGCACCCCTCCCTAGGCAGGAGCCCTACCCCTTCCTCGCCACCCCTCCACAGATGACCCCACAGCAAGGTCTGAGCAGGCCGTGCCCCACTCTAGAACGTCTTGCCCTCGAAGGCATGGAGATTAAAGGCAGTATCCAGAAACTTCCTCAGTGACACCAGGTGAGTGTTCTTGTTTCCAGTGGCTGGTGCAGCTGCTGGCTCACGGCCTACATACCTGGAGGAAGACAGACACGGGAGGTGGGGCTGGGCCAGGGCCACACTCACCCAGAACTGTTGGGCTGTGAATCTGAAGAAGGCTGGCCTGGAAGTCACTGAACTTCCTTCCCAGAGGACTGCCTGGCCTGGGGCAAACTCAACCACCCAGCCACACGAGGGGGGGGGGGGGGAGGGGAGGGGGGGGAGACAGCTCCTCCACGCCACTGGATTGGACAACAGATGTGGCCATAACACAAAGGCTTTGGAGGCAAACACACTTTGGGCTTCTCTGAGGTTCTCAGGTCTCCTCTCCTCACCCCTCCCAGGATAGGTGAGGCTGATACTGAGCACCAAACAGCTGCTGCATGCTAAGCAGCCCAGATAATGATGCACGCTCACCACCCTGGAGCAGAGCAGAGGAGAGAAAGGCTCCGGGAAGCTAGGTAAGGTGTCCTGACCAAAGGAAGGTGTGTGGTCTGCAGGAGGGTTTGTAATTCACTTCTAGATGCAGAATAAAAGCAAAGGTTTTTTTCCCCATGAAGGCAGGACTGACAGTGCTCCAGCCCTGCTGGAGAAGCCAATCTGCCACAGGCAGCCCACACAGAGCTTCAGGACTCTTGCAGTTCTCTCTGCAGTTTTCAAAGATGGACTAGGAAAGGACAAAGGGCAGTTTGGGGTGGCACAGCCCCAGGGAGCCCAGCCGAGGCAAGCGGCAGGTAGGGGGCCCAGCCTGTACCATATGGGCCGAGCCTGGCCAAGGATGGTCATGAAGCGCGGGCTGATGTAGTCATAGTAGCCCATGTTCTTGTGCTCCTCCTGACACCACACCAGCTCTGCGTCGGGGTACCTCTCTGCCTCCTGCTTGATCAGATCGAAGGGAAATGGAGAGATCTGCAGTGGCAGGGAGAAATGGGGGCACTGTCAAGGAGAAGTGGTTCTGCCTAAGGCCAACAAAACAAAACAGGATATGAGCCACAGGGCAGGCCTTGCCATTCCCAGCACTCTGGGCCCCGCCCACAGCACACCTGCTCCAGGCGAGTGATGGCCACCTGCCCCTCCAGGCCCTGGCTGCTCCGTTCCTTTACCAGATCGTAGTACACTTTTCCTGTGCAGAAGATGAGCCGCCGCACCTGCCCAGGAGCCTGCGCTGCAGCCCCATCTTCTGGAATCACTCGCAGGAAGCTGGTTCCTGCATCAGCACCAGAGAGGCGTCAGTTCCTGTGCACACCGGCTGTGTCCTCAGGCCCTCTCTGACCACTGCATTAACCCAGCCTTTTGGCTGTGGTTGCACTGGACACCTCTTGACTCAAAAGATGAAAAAAGAAACAAAGATACCCTGTAATGTCCCAGGGAGAGGACTAGAGGCAGAGCTGTAGCCAAGATCAAAGCCCCGGGAGCATCAGCCTTTAAAGTGCCAGGGAGGGGCCCTGAAGGGGAGGTAGTATGATGGACACAGATGTTGGCGCTGTTGTCTGCCTGGGACTGGCCAACATCCTGCATGGCATCCGGCTGCCAGTCACCAAGCCAAGGACAAGGAGTTGCTGGAGAGGTCACTGTGCATCCTCCCGCCCCCCAAAGCCCTATTTCCTTCCAGAGGTCCCAGCAAGTGTAGGTCAAACACACTTCAGACCTCTCAGGAAGCCACTGCTTCCTGAGCAGCATAGCTGTCTCCAAGTGAGGACATGGGGGGGGGGGGCTGCTGTCAGGACCCCAGAGAAGAGCTGCATCCAGCCAGGCTGCTCTGTCATGTGCTGGAGTTCTGCACTGGCCATGCCAGCCACCATCCATGCTGCAGCGGAGCGCTCAATCTCACAAGCAAAAAACAAGGTCAAGAAAGGGACCTCTCCTGTTACTGGACATCCTGTGTTCCAAGATGGCTCTGCTCTGTTTACCTCAGGCCTCACTCCCACTCCTCAACTTTCTATTGACCCCCCCACACACACTTTCAAGTCAATGAGACAGAGAGCTGCTGGAAGGGGCACCAGGTTCCCAGGGCCAGTAATGTCTGGTTCAGGAATAAAAATCGAATGAATGAAGGAACAATATTAGTGCCCAGTGAACCAGGCAGCTCTCCCTCCTGTGAAAAGCCCTGGTCAAGAACAGCCAGGCTGGACCTGGCGCTCATTCAGAGTGACCTGAGCTGGCCATGGAACCCATCTTTTAATTTGTGTGTGTCTGGTGGGGACTAGGCCAGGACCTGCTGCAGGGCCAACAAAGACACGGGGGGCGGGGAGGGGGGCAGAGGAGCCCCAGGGACAGAAGCCATGTCATGGCCACTTCCTCAGGGTACCCCACAGATCCAGACCACACGGCCACTTTCCTAGTAGGCCACCCCACAGATCCAGGCCAGGCACATACCTGACACCATCTGGTCGAAGCTGGACTTGGCCTCGGGGTGCCTCAGCAGAGATTTGGGTGTGAAGACAATCAGCTGGAAAAGAAACACATGGCTAGCTGCCAGCGCCCCCTCCGCCCCACACATCCCAGGCATACCCACAGTGGTGCCGACGGGCAGGCGCCTGGCTCACGGGCTTGCGGAAGGGCAGCAGGATCTGCCGGCGGAGCACGTGGAAGTAGCTGGCCGGTGTAGAGCAGTTCACGACGATCCAGTTGCAGTCATACAACTGGCTTACCTCAAAGTCCTTGGTGAACACCTGTGGTGGAAAGAGGTGTCTAGGGGGCAGCATGGACCCCAGGCCCTGCAGCACAGCAGTGTGTCCCTATGCTCACCGGGTAGGCGTCCGAGTCATCATTGCTCATCTGCAGGAACCTCTCAGGCCGTGCGGAGGAGTGCTCCGGGCCCTGAAAGCACACACAACACAGCCCAGGCTGGTCCACAGGACAGTGACAGCCACCCTTGTTTAGGGGGTCTTGGGAGCTTCTAGAACTGTTCCTTACCCTGGAGCCTAGCCCACAGGGACTATGGGATCAGACAAATCTGAAAATTGAGGTTCAAAATCAGCCCCGGCAGAAAGTCTGCAAGATTCTATCTCCAATTAACCAGCAATATGCCAGACTCTAGGAGTGGCTCAAGTGGTAGAGCACCAGCCCTGAGTAAAAAGTTGACACTGCAAGGGCCTGAGTTCACAGCTTGAACTCAGGTCTCACACCAAAAGGGGGGTGGGGGTAGGGAAGCAACCCTAAGGCAATTTTCTCACTTGAGGGGATGGTAGAGGGGGGAAGAGATAGGAGTGACACTGATCAAGACACTTTGTACTCATTAATTGAGATGTTGAATTAAAACTCCTTTGTACAACTACATATATATATATATAGTGTGTGTGTGTGTGTGTGTGTGTGTGTGTGTGTGCCAGTCTTAGGTGTTGTCCCTGACCTTTTTCACTCAAGCCTGGCACTCCACCATTTGAGCCACAGCTCCACTTTTGTCTTTTTACTGGCTAATTGGAGATAAGAGTCTATGGACCTGGCCCAAGTTGGCTTTGAACCTTGATCCTCAGATATCAGCCTCCTGAGTAGCTAGAAATATAGGTGTAAGCCACTAGCACCTGTCTTAAATTTTTAAATTCTGAACATTCTGAAACCGCATAATCTAGCAGCAACTGACTGAACTGTCTGAGTACCTACTTTAGGGACCACTGTATTCGTAAATTACTCATCTGGAGAGCAGCCCCAGGAGGTGGACACCTATTTCCTCTCCACACAGCAGCAAGGGAAGGGGCTGGCAGAGTAAGAATGGGCCAGCACCTGGCAGAAGAGGCAGGCTAACCCTGCTGGAGACAGACTCCCATCTGCCCACAATGCAGACCTCCAGGATTCAGGACCAGGAAGGCAAATATTATTCTCAACCTTGCAAGGGCCATTCCAGCTCACCTGCCAGCGCCTACATGGTCCCTACACAGCCCCCACATAGCCTGCTTGCCAGCCCCAACGTGGCCCACACAGAGTCTCACCATGCCCTCCATGCCATGGGGCAGCAGCAGCACAATGCCATTGTGCCGAACCCACTTGGCCTGGCCGGTGCTGATGAACTGGTCAATGATGCACTGGGCTGTGTTGTGAAAATCACCAAACTGAGCCTCCCAGAGGACCAGGGCATTGGGGCTGGCCATGGCATAGCCCAGCTCAAAGCCTAGAGAGAAGACATCAAGATGGAGCTTGCTGTATGCTGTTAACAAGTGTCAGCAGCTCCTGTCAAACCCATCCATTCCTCATATGCCCTCCCTGCCCATCCATCCTCGGCAACAGCCTGAGAAGAGCCCAGGGATTCCCCTGGGTCTCAACAGGACAGGATGTGCCTTGCTAGAAGATGCTCAAAGACATCACCCTTAGCTGTTACACCATACAAGGCCAGGTGCCAAGCCCAGGAGCCAAGTCCAAAGGTACCCTGGAGGAGGATACAGGACCCATCTGCCAAGAGAAACCACACCACACACACACGCACATGTGCATGTACATGCACATACATGCACATGTGTGTGGGCACACACACAGAGATAAGCAAGGCTGCTGAGGCAAAGGGGACAGAGGTAGGCACAGAGGCAGTTCTGCAGAGCTGGGAGCCACAGCCCACAGCTTTCTGTCTGGGCTCGATGACTACAGTCCAGAGAAGAGGCTCTGGTGTCTACAGAGACCCACTAAAAGGCACTCAGGGTCTCCCAACTGCAGTCTCTGAGAGTTCTAAGTGGGATCTAATCTTATTCCCTATGTATCTATCCCCCAGTACCTGCCACCCAAGGGTTCTCTAAGCTCTCCAGCCCTTGCCCTCCTCCCCACAGGCCTTAACTCCAGCTCTCCTCTATCATCCCTGGTCCCCAGGGACCTCAGGTCCACCCAACTCACCTAGGACTCCGTATTCTGAGAGGGAGCTATTGCACACGGTGTAGGGGGCCTGGTCAGGCCACAGATGGTTCATAGGAACACATGTCCTCCGGTCAACTTCCTGGTCATGAAGAACATGGTGCCTGTGGCTGTGGAAAGGCAGAGAAGGAAGGGGATGATTGCAGGGGTGACCTGTGTTTCACAGCAGGGCATCTGGGTCACTGCCCCCAGAAAGTCTGCAGAGTCTCACAAAATGGTGACACCAAGAAGGCTGTAATGACAACCTGGTCCCTGCCCACACATAGCACTGGGGGTCCTGGAGTAAGATGTGCAGGTTATAGGATCTCTGACCTCGGTGTCTTACTACACAGGGACCCAATGAGTCCTGCCCTGCTAGGCTAGCAGGAGCAGGTTGGAGCCTGAGATACAGGATAGCACACCACTGAGGCATGGGCCCCTACCCATCCTGCTATCCTCTCTACCAACTGGCCTGCCCTGCCCAAGCTCAACGGAGGCAGGAACTACTGTTCAGAATCTGAGGCTGCATAGTAAGGGGGGGCTGGCTTGAGATCTGGCTGGGTCTCAAGTCAGCAAGATGGGCAGCCAAGCAGCTGCTTGACTCCTGGTCTGGAGCAAGGCCAGCAGATGAGCACATAGGCCAGAAGGAAGAGCTTGTTGCTCTTGGAAGCCACACCATCATATCTTGCTACCATGGCACCAATTCAGGATGTAGAATGTCTGGGGCCCAAATCAGAGAAAATGGGACAGGGACAGTGGACAAGTGGGTCCCCATCTGTATCCAAAACCTCAACAAGCAAGGTAGGAAAGGCTGCCTGACAGCAGAGAAATAGAAACAAATGGTCCTAAGGGCCATAGATGACCACAGATTCCTGATAGTTGCCAGCTTGGGCCAACAAGTCTTGCTGTGGGGGTGATGACTTGGGCCTGGCTGGATGCCAATGGTATCTGTTGTGTTACCTCAGCCAGAGGAGGAAGGGCCAGATCTTTTCTATGCCTCCTATGCTGATTCTGGGTGCTCACCTTCCTTGCCAGGCTGAGCTCGGAGATCCTCCACTATGCCCTTACCTGAATGTGCCCCTCTCCACATCCTGGCCGCTGAGCCGCACATGGATGCCTTCCTTCAGCAGCGAGCCGAAGGCCATATACTCCGCCAATGCCCAGTCCACCGTGCGCTTCTTGGTCATGTCTGCACGGCCACGCAGGATGCGAGATAGGCCTATGGGAGGACGGGAGGGCCTGAGGAGCCTGACCACTGGCCTGGGACAGATGAAGCATCTGGGTTCTGGGGCCTTGGTGCAAAAGCAGGACTCTGGCAGGCTGCAGGAGAGCCCTACCCAGGCTCCCCTGCCCTGGCCTACAACCCACACAGCAAGATAGTCTGGGTCAACAGCCATAGCCTTCTCTACAAGGGAAGACCGGGTCATTCACTGCCAGGGCTCCTTGTAGCTACCCTATGCAGGAGTGCCTCTGCTTTCCAGAATAAGAGACTGTGGTTCATAGGGGAGACGTGTGTACTCAAGATCACACACCCAGCAAAGAATTCGAATTCCATCCCTTCCTATCTATAAACGACTGTGATACGCAGCGTGGCCTCAGCCCCAATGCCATCAGCAGGTTCCTCAGGAGAGATGGCGTCCATGGATATTGTGAGGTGTCCTCTTGAACTACAGCCACAGGACCCCAGACTTTCTAAGCAGAAAACACGATGGTCACAGCCAGAGGGTTCAGTCAGAAACCACCCACTAGCCAGGTTCACCAGCCGGGTGAACAGAGAGTAGCCAGGGGGCTACTCTAGCAACGGCAGGAAGGATTTCCAGCATAGTCCTCCCTATATTCCAGGCCCAGACACCCCTCCATGGATGCCCCTGCTTCCCTGCTCCCTGCCTGGTCAGGGATACCCCAAGAAACTGTTTGGCAAATCCAAGTTGCCAGTTCCTAGCACCCAGCTGGAATGTGGTGTCCACATCTTCCCAACTCCCTACATCCACCCTGAGGAGGGTTCATGGTACCCCAGGGCACAAAGGAGGCTTGGAGAGTGACAGCAAGCCAGTGAAAGGCGTCACAGGGATATGCTACATGTCAGGGTTCCCCACCAGCCTCCCCTTGGGACACTGTTAGGTCTAGGACAGTGGCCATGCTAAATAAAGCCTGTATAGCAACTCACCTGTGTGGATCTTAAAGTCCTCCAGGGGCACAGAGCTGGCCACATTGCCAATGTGTGTCAGCATGTCCTCTGGGATGCCAGTGGCAGGACATGTCATGCTCTTGGGCTCCCCATCCACGTTGAAGAAACCTGAGGGGACAGAACTCCATCCATACCAGGTTGTAGGGCTCTGCTGCCCCTGATCAGGACCAAAGGGACTATGTTCTCACGTCTACCAGCACCTGGACTCATCCTTGGGACCTGCTGCAGGTGGGCAGCTACAGCTGACCCACACCCTGACTCAGCCCCACCCCATCAAGAAGGCTCCTCCTTCCCATGGGGACAGCCATGGGGGGTGGCCTTCTCCTGGAGTCACAGAGACCTCCTGGGTGGTATCTGCTTTTCCAGGGCTGTCTGTTCTATGACAGTGCAAAAGTTCCAGGTTCCCTGAGTTGTGTGTCACTCACTCACCGGGCCAGGGTGAGTCCAGCCAGTGCTTTATATGAAGGATCTTTTTGTCCTTGGACCTGCCATATGCCTCCTCACAGATCCTGTCATACTTGGCAATTTCTTCCTAGAATCAGAATGAAGGAGGTATGGATGTCATAGCTGGCCTGAGGCTCAGTCTACCCACACTCATAAAATCTGGTCCCCGTCACCAAGTTCTAGAACTTTCTCCTTGGCTTGTAAGCCTCTCATGGCCAGAGGCCCAGATCCCAGAGTTTACAATAATCCTGGGTGTTCCCAGCCTGGTGGGCCAGCTGTGTGATCAAAAAGTGGCTTGAGGGAGACCCAGGAAAGACTGACTCAGTCCTCATCTCAGAGTTCCTTGAAGTGGAAGGACCAATACATCCATAGATAATTTGGAAGATGGACCCAGTACAGGTCTGATCCTACAGGAGGTCTTCCTGGACTCCTTTCTTACCTGAAGCTAAGCCTCCTCCACATCACAGCAATGCTCTCATCCTTAGTTCTCTGTTCCCCTTAATAACCAGGGGCTTTAGGCTCAAGGACTGTCGATGACATCTTTAAATCCTGTGCCTAGCACCGAGATGGTGACACAACCACACATGGGTTTCTATCCAGGGACGTATGTGGGGCCCGCATGACCTGCTGCCCACCTCAAACTCCTGCAGGGTAACAGTGCCCTCAGCGATGAGCTTGTCCGCATACTTCTTCAGCACAGGCACCTGCTTATGGATCTGCTTGTACATGAGGGGCTGTGTGAACATGGGCTCGTCCATCTCATTGTGGCCACGCCGGCGATAGCAGACCTACGGGGGCGGCCAGGGGGGTCAGACCCTGCCCAGACCTGGTGCTCAAGTGGGAGCACTGCAAAGCTGGGGCTTGTCCAGGTTGGCTCTCGTTGAGGCACCCAAAAGCAGCCACTACCACAACCACCAATTGAGAGTCCCAAACCCAGGCCTTGGTGCAGCTGGCATTTGGCTCCTGTCTAAAAAGCATTCTCAGCCTTTAGAGCTGAAGAGGTAAAGACCTGGCCAATTCAACCCAACAAGGACAGCTGTCCCCACTCAGGGTCAAGCACCTACCTCACTTGCTTGGCAAGGACAGGACTCTCCCTCTTTTCTTGATCTCAGCCACCCCCACGCCCACCTTGCCTGCCCAGAGCAGCAGCTCTTGCCCAGCCTCAGTCCTACAGACCTACCAGGTCCACGACGACATCCTTGTTGAAGGTGTTCCTCCACTCGGCAGCCACACTGCACACATAGATGACAGCCTCGGGGTCGTCGGCGTTAACATGGAAGATGGGTGCGTTGACCACACGGGCCACGTCAGTGGGGTATGGTGAGGAGCGGGCCATTCGTGGGTCTGTGGTAAAGCCAATCTGCAGAGGCAGGAAAAGCCAGCACACAGACCTGCTTAATTGCTTTTTGTTTTGAGGGGAAGACAAGATCTTACTATGTTGTCCAGGCTGGCCTCATACTTCAGGCTCAGGGGATATACTTGCCTTAGCCTCCCAAATAGCTGGGACTGGCACACACTACAGTTCCTGGCATTACTCTGCTTCCTTTTAACTAGACAGATGGTGCTGGCTCCAGAGATTAGACAAATCAAGGGGGTGAATGAGGGCCCCTCATAGGGCACAGGGATATACATTGGGCATAAAAGGGTAACACATGGATGGCTCTACAAGCCAACAAAGTAGCAGTCCCATAGACAGAGGTAGCCCTAAGGAGACTGTGCCTCCTCTCTCTGCCTGTCACTTTTCTTCTTTGGCAGTGAGGAACATAGGCCTGGTCCAGCAGTGAGTGTACAGCCGTGGGCAAGGCACTTCAATTCCAGTGTCTTCATCTATGAAAAGTGCTCATTAAACTCCTGCCTCCCAGTGATACTCAAGGAAGATTAAATGACTCTGCAAATAAGGCAGTTAACACAGGATGTCTAGGCTCCTGAGATGAGTTGCCATTAACTACAGCTGCCCTAAAGCAAAGGCACATGACACTGCCATTTAAGACCAAGGTGCTCTGGAGCGAAGGTCACATCCAGTCCCACATCTAGCCTCTGTGCTGTGTTCTTTCATCCTTATGACCTTCTCTGTGCTGTCTGTACAGTGTCCCTGGGTACTCATAGATATGAAAATCCAAAGATGCTCAAGTCCCTTACAATAAGAGGTATGTGCATAAAGCTCACACACACCTTCTCCTGCACTGTAAACCATCCCTAGATGGCTGCCCTTGGAACTCATGATCCTCCACTTTGCTTTTCAAGTGCTTGGATTACAGGCATGTATCACCATGCCTAACCTGAATATTTTGTTTCATTTGGTTGAACCCACAGCTATGGAACCTTCAGAAGCTGCAGATGCAGATATCTGGTATGGAGCCCACAGTCTCACCTGGTTGTTGACCACAACATGCACAGTGCCATTAGTGGTATAAGAAGGCAGGTCACTCAGGTGGAAGGTCTCATAGACCACTCCCTGGCCAGCAAAGGCGGCATCCCCATGGACCAGGATGGACATGACCTGGAAGGCAGGGTAAAAGCCATCAGGGCGCAGTACTCCAGACTATACAGCCTGTCATGCCCCTACTACCAGGGTCTCCAGAGTCCACCCACTCAGGGCGAGGTCCTCAGGGTCCACTTCTTCAGCGTCCAGCCCCTAGATAATATCCTTCAAGGCCCAAATGAGCTCACCTTCTTGCCCTGGGCATCCCCACGGTAAAACTGTTCTGCCTTTGTCTTTCCCTGAACTACAGGGTCCACAGCTTCCAGGTGGGAGGGGTTGGCCACCAGCGACAGTGTAATGTTTCTGTTGGTGACACGGTTGATCCTCTCATGGTACATGCCCAAGTGGTATTTGACGTCCCCAGAGCCCTAAAGGTCAAGGAAGCACATGATGAGCCCACCTCTCCTATGCCAGGCAGTGGACGGCCATGATGTGCCCACCTCTCCTGTGTCAGGCAGTTGATGGAGGGCAGGCAAGTTCAGCTGAAACTTGGCTCAAAAGCCATGAGCCCCTTGCTCACCACAGCCTATGGTCCTGCCATCATGACTGGTCTCAGAAGGGAGAGAAAGCATCAGGACAAAGGGACCGCCCCTGGCAGTGACTAGAGGAAATGAAGGGTAGCTCAAATCAGTGGAGCTGCTTGCCAGGCCTCTGGGAAAACACCAGATTCAAATCTCTACCTCATTCCTTACACCAAAATAAAGCCACCATTATCAGAGAAAACCAACCTATGTTAGGATTTTGGTAGGAAGTCTTTCTTTTCTTTCTTTCCTCTCTTGGGGGGGAGGGAGGAGGGTGAGTGTGTGCGTGCGTGCGTGCGTGTGCATGTGCGTGTGCATGTGTGTGTGTGTGTGTGTGTGTGTGTGTGTGTGTGTTGGGGCTTGAACTCTAGGCCTGGGCGCCGTCCCTAACCCTCTTTGTGCTCAGGCTAGCATTCTACAACTTCCAGCTTTTTCTGAGTAGTAATTTAGAGATAAGAGTCTCACAAACTTCTTTGCCTGGGCTGACTTTGATCCTCATATCCTCAGATCTCAGCCTCCTGAGTAGTTAGTATTATGGGTGTAAGCCACTTGTACCAGGTGGAAGCCTTATTTTCTAAACAATTCAAAGCCCAGAACCTGTAAGAGACAAAGCAGGTAAGGCAGATTAAACTGTCATGGATAGGGGAAGAAAATCAAGGCATGGTGTTGGGAAAGGAATTACACTGGGGAAAATATAAGACAAAAACAAGAGGGCTGGGAAGGTGGCTCAGTGGTAGAGCGCTTGCCTTAAATGCATGAAGCCCTGGGTTCAATTACTCAGCACCACATAAGCAAAAAGAAAAAAGCTGGAAGTGGTGCTGTGGCTCAAGTGGTAGAGCGCTAGCCTTGAGCTGAAGAGCTGAGGGACAGCACCCAGGCCCCAGAGTTCAGGCCCTATGACCAGACCCCCCCCCCCAAAAAAAAAAGAAAAGGACTAATGCCCTCAATAAGCAAAATGCTTTTACAAATCAGTAAGCTTTTTTTAAAAGTTAGTAAGATAAGGCAAAATGAGTGAAAACTATGAAAGGAAATTATAGAACAAGAAATAAAATGGTTCTAAGATAGGCGAAAGTACTCAGTTATACTCATAACAAGGAAATTTGTTAAAAATGAAATCATTGCCAGGTGCTAGTGGCTCATGCCTATAATCCTAACTAATTCTCAGGAGGCTGAGCTTTAAGGATCACAGTTCGAAACTAGCCTGGGCAAGAGATTCATCTCCAATTAAGCATCTAAAAGCCAGAAGTGGAGCTGTGGCTCAAGTGGCAGAGTGCCAGCCTTGAACAAAAGAGCTCAGGGCCAACACCCAGACCCTGAGTTCAAGCCACAGGCCAGTACAAAAAAAAAGTAAAAAATCATTGTAGTGCCTACCATATTGCAAAAATGACTGGACAAGGCAGGGGAGGCCAGGGTTGTGGGATACACAGGCTCACTGATGCCTGCAACATCCTCAGAAGGTAACTTAGTCCAGCCTCAGTTCTAACCACTGCCCTTCTCAGACTCCATCTAACACTGAGTCATTACACACATGTGAAGACACTCACTACAGCAGCCACAGCCTCACAGCGGATGCTCTGTAGGGCGAGAAGCCTGGGGCAGCTGCTCACACACTCATAGGAGACGATAACTTCGTTAAGTGAAAACAGTGAAGTGCCCATGACAGCCCAGGCTACTCCCAGGGCTCTGGACAAAGCTGCTTGCATCTGCACAGAACAGCCTTAGAATCACAAAGCTCAGCATGAACACAAGCACATACCCCAAAGATGGACACAGAACAAATCTCACAATGGAAACATATTCTCATTGCTCAAATTGTTTTTTTAAAACAATGTTCATATTTCATTGCCAACTTACTTTTTTGTAACATGCTAATGTGGTTTTTTTTTCAATCTAAAAAAAAACCATAAATATTTCAAACTAACCTTTGGCTAAGCTTTCTATCCAAACTCAATTCCCTCACTTCCCTCTCTCCCCGCTCCCTCCCTCACACAGATGGACACACAGACACAAACTCAGAACCACTCGGAGGCAGGTGCTTTCATCTTTGTTCTACAAGAAGCATCCAAAGCTTGGTGCCTGGGGGAAATGAACAGGATACAGAAAGAACCTGGGCTGGGTGCCAGTGATTGTGGGTGCTAGCCTTGCACTGGCACGGGGTTCTAGGTGTCCTTGGAGCAGTTACTGCAACTTTAACAAACCAAGCACTGTGCTGGGCACTGGGGCTTTGAGGACAAGGTCCCTGCCCTTGTCCTAGAGGGAAAGATAGATATGCATGCACGCACACATCAGGCTGGAAAAGGCCAGAAAAGAGGCAAGGAAGGGAAAAAAGGACACAGAGGAAGGACAAGGTCACTGCCCACAGACAGCCATCAAAAGGAAAAACAACAGCACGCTGTATGAAGGCAGGGCAGAGGAGGGGGAAGGCAGTGAGTGTTAAGGGCCCAGCATGGCCAAGGCCACAGTGACATGAGAACAAAGAGGGAGAGCAGAAAAGCAGGTCCTTGGCTGGCCAATGGGCACATCTGACTGCCACAGCTCTGTGGGGCCAACAAACAGGTGAGCTACCATTCCATGCTGGTAGCAGGATGGGGCACACAGGCTGAAATGACTTCCTGACAATTCTGTAGGATTCTCTCGGCTTCAGTTGCCACAGCTGGAAACAGGGAGATTGGCCAGGATGACCTGAGAGCTTTCTCAGCTGCCACAGGCTGCACAAGCCTTGGGAGCCTCACACACATCTCAGCCCTACACAGGTTTGTTCAGCCTGGAAGCTCCAGTGGGCCCAGATCCTCTCTGAGGCACTAGAACCAGGGCATGGCACCCACCTCATCAGCCGCCTCCAGCTTGGGGTCAAACTGGCAGAAGATCTGCTCCAGGTCCTTGCGGATCACGTTGGCCAGCACATTTAGCCTGCCCCTGGGACCAGAGGGCATGCGCTCACACCTGCCACCATGGCCACACCCCAGCCCAGCACTGCCAGGCAAGGCCCAGCCCTGTCCTGTCTCATTCTACCAAGCCATGAGGGTCCCGGCCAGCCAGCTCTCTGCAGGCAGACACTCCTACACATCACTAACCCCATCTCCTGGTCCACAGGAACATCAAGAAACTCAAGGTACACTTGTATGAAGTCCTATCCCTCTTGGGAAGAGTTGGCAACATGGCCAAAGAAAAGGAATCTCAGAAAACTCAGTGGGGCTTTGGCCAAGTATCTGGCTCTTTCATGAAGAGCTGACCAGGCCTGCTGACTCTAAGAACCTACCAGACCATCCACCTCTACCACCAGCATCCCGTCCTGATTTCCATCTCCTCCCTTGCCCGAGTCCCCTGGACAGCAGGCCCGCCTCAGAGGGGCGGAAGCCGGCTCCACCTGTGTGGCATCCCCAGGATGACATTCTCGATCCCCATCTCGCTGGACTTGTCGATGATGGTCTTGAGGGCAGGAATCATGACCTCACAACCCTCCAGGCCAAACCGCTTCTCTGAGGACCATTTTCGAGCGAGAAAGTCTTCAAACCTGATTGGGAGAGGGGATGGAAGGGGCAGGACTGGAGCTCATGAAGGCTGTCCCCAAACATGGGAGCTGGGTGCTGGGACAAGAATGGATTTAGACCCACACCTGACACCTTGTCACTCCCACCTAGCAAGAAGCACAAGATCAGTGCAGGCGTGGGCCCCCCAACTTCACTGAAGACCTCTGCCCAAAGCCTTCCCCTTCCCAGACTCCATCCTCTCCCCTCTTTACAGCCAAACTTCTCCACCCACTCCCCACCCACCCCTCACTCTCCTGCCTGCACTGCAAGGGGCTCTCTCACCAAGTCCTCAGACCACCACCTGGCTGAATTCCAAGTCCAGATCATATCTCACCAGGCTGGGTGGGTGAGCTGGACTGGGTGCACCTCCAGGCCTATACCCTGAGGCAGGTCCAGCCTCAGAGTCCCACTGCCCATGCTGGGAGTCTCCGCTGCCCTCACTCTACACTGCCCAAATAGTCCCACAGCCACAGTCTGCCCCTGACACCATGTTTCCCTGGAGTCCCACCTCTCTTCACTTGCCTGGCTCTGCCCTGGACCAGCTCTTGGCCAAGCTAACTGAACACCTGGTCCTAACACTCTGCTGAAGGCACTCCTAAAGCCAGGTGTGGAGGCCAGCCTAAGCTCTGGGCCCCTGAAAGTTCCCCAGTCAGCAGCCATGCAGGTGCCGGTCCAGGGCAGTGCTGACCTCATGGAGCGCACCAGCCGGGCCAGCAGGGTCCGCTTCTCCTCACTAGAGAACTGCATCACGCCAGGGGTCTCAAACTTCTGCCGGATCCACTGGCACTGCTCCACATCGTTAATGAACATGAACTCCAGGCCAATGTGCTGGCAATAGGTGCTCTAGAGGAAATAGGTGGGAACTCCACAGCCAGGAAGAGGGATGGCGGCCCAGGAGTCCTGAGCACACGAGGAAGTGCCCTCCCACCTCTCACACTGCTGAGAGCATCATCAGGTGTGGCAGACACACCTGCAGGGCTCACCTCCAGTCGCCGAATGATCTCCCGAAGAGAGAGCGTGTTTTCAGAGCCTCCAATGAAGGTGGTGGTAGGCAGCTGGAACTCCTTATCCAGGTCAGCCTCCTGCAGGTCGTAGAAAGCTGGGGAAGAAGCCCCAGGCAACAGAGAGGAAAGAGAGAGACCAGGTCTAGGGCAGGGTGAACATCCTCAAAGACCTCCCCACCGCCCCAACAATCTGCTCTGTACCCTCCCTCGATCTCTTTTTTTTTTTGGGGGGGGGGTCCAGTCATTGGGCCTGAACTCTGGGCCTGGGCGCTGTCCCTCAGCTCTTCAGCTCAAGATTAGCGCTCTACCACTTGAGCTACAGTGCCACTTCCGGCTTTTTACTTTTTGCTTATGTGGTGCTGAGGAATCGAACTCAGGGCCTCAGGCATGCAAGGCAAGCACTCTACCACTGAGCCACCTTCCCAGCCCTCCCTCCCTCGATTTTTGTCCTGGAAGCTCATTGGTAAATAGAGCTCACCTGCTACCAGGAGTGTGGGCTTGGACAAGTATCACCCCTGCTGGGCACAGTGAACCAGATGGGAAAGATGGAAAGGCATCCCTTTTGGGACACTGTGCAGTAGAAAGGAAAAGGCTAGAAGAGACCTAGACCCAGAGGCAGGCAGAGGTAGGCTTGGTTCAGGATGCAGAAGCCCCTCACTGGGCCAAAGTACCAGCTTGCTTTGCATTAACAGGGCATTAGGAAAGGGTCCCAACTCTCACCCAACTTATCAATAGTCGTGATTAAGTCTGAGGGCACAAAGGAGTCCAGATCTGCATCCAGAATGCCCAGGGGGTCCAGCTGGGCCACGTGGTGTCCCCGGATCTGAAAAGAGGGTGAGGAAAAGGCCAGGCTGGGTCCCAGATGAGAATATATTTGCCTAGGGTGAGGCTGGGAGCAGCTAGAACATTACTTCTAGCTTCACAATTTCTAGTTTCCACACATCTCACCCATGCTGCTGCCTGTGAGACCCCAGCCATGGCCACCAAAGCTGCAGTGAAAGAACCACATGTAGCTGACCAAAGTAGTGAAAGGCCTATATACAAAGGGATGTACTACAGTATAGAAATTGTGAAATTTGGCGGGGGCGGGGGGGGGGGGGGGGGGGAGAGGGGGAGAATGGGATGGGAAGGGTGGGAAGGGGAAACAAAGGAGGAGGCTACAATACTTGATAAGAAATGTACTCATTATCTTGCCCATGTAATTGTAACTCCTCTGTACAGTATTTTCACAATAAAAAATAAAAATTAAAAAAAAAAGAAATTGTGAAATTCTAGAAACTTCCTAAGTGCCCATCAAGAGAAGTCCAGCATACAGATAAGGAAAATCTACCTGAATGAGGAGGAATGAGGAAAACTCCCACCTGCTACAAGGCAGTCACCACAAAATACCTCTAAGGAAAAAGACAAATCCTGAAATAGTACACATAGTGAATTACCTATTATGTAAGAAAGGATATGTGAGTAAATATATGTATTTGTATGCACACAAACACAAGACTAAATCATAAAATGAGAAAACCATAAGACAAGAAAAAAATGATCATCTACAATATGGCACACACTGGAATAGACACAAGGACAGGTCTAGAAGCTATACTTTTTAAGAGAATAGCTTGCTTTGAAGGTATTTATTTGAAGATATTTATTATAGTAAACCTTTTATATTCTAAAACTAAGTGAAGCTTTAAAATTTGAAAGTAAAATGAAGTAAATTAATAAGTATATAATTCAGTGGCACCGATTCCAGTTGGCAAATGGAATATTCCCTAAAGACAAACAGAACTACAGGGGAAAATTGCATAAACTCTTTTCCATTACCAATCTTAGTAACAGTGTTTGAATTGTTCTCCCAAGACTGTTGCACGTGGGCTGTGGAGAAAAATCAATAAGCCACTGCACAGACGTCTTTGAAGATGTCTTTTTGGCATCTTTGAAAGGAGACAGCACCACAAGATTGATGAGGTCAACAGCAAACCCTTAGTCCTGCATTTGAAGTATGCTGCACCAGTATAAATCCATAATGCATGTCAGCTTTCTAGAGGAAAATAGTCATTTTCCAGCTCTAACTATTAAAATGACTAAACCAATGGGAACCTGGATGGATCCGGGCTGGGGAGAACCATACAGAATAAGACTTGGAACGTGTGTGTGTGTGTGTGTGTGTGGTGTGTGTGTGTGTGTGTGTGTGTGTGTGTGTGTGTGTGTGTGTGTGTGTGTGTGTGTGTGTGTGTGTGTGTGTGTGTGTGTGTGTGTGTATGTTGGGGGAGAAACATATATAATAAGACTTGGAGCGTGTGTGTGTGTGTGTGTGTGTGTGTGTGTTGGTTCTGTTGAACTCAGGGCATAGGTGCTGTCCCTGAGCTTTTTTGCTCAAGACTAGCCCTCTACCATATGAGTCACAGCTGCACTTTTGGCTTTTTGATGGTTAACTGAAGATAAGAGTCTCACAGATTTTCCTCTTATACTGGGCTTTGAATCTCAAGTCTCAGATCTCAGCCTTCTGAGTAGCTACGATAAGTAGCATGAATCACTTGCACCCAGCAGAGCCTCTTAAAGCAGTCAGCAAAGGACCATCAAGAACTGCCAGGGCTGGGAGTTTGGACACATTTTGAGCAACAATATGTCTAAAATCACATATATATCATCATATATCATTACAATATAATCACAATAAATACATATCATTTACAACAAAATGAAATCATCAAATATGCCTAAATGTATGCATTCACATAAAATTTTAAAAAAGGAAAAAAAACTCTACCTTTGGAAGGGTATAAAAAAATTACCACTTATATCTGAAAACCAATCAATAAAAGGAAAATCAAGTATTGCCCCGTCTCTACTATACAATGTGTACTTTGGGAGAAGCACTGTGGACAGAAGAATTTCCTGTATTTCAGGTAGTAAATAAAGAAGGAAAGTGAGAAGGCCACTATTTTGTTTTTGCAACTCCTAATGAATTCCTAATGAACTCCTAAAGAAATCACTGAAAATTCCCATCCCCATCACCAACTGGTAGCTGGTTTGTTGGGAAAATCAAACTTCTAGATCTCACCACCATTTAGAAAAATCACGTAGGACAGAAGAAGGAAGGTAAAATGACACCTAGGAATGTGATCAGCAAACTCAGGAAAACACAGGACAAACCAGCCGGCACAAAACCCGGCAAGGAACAGGAAAGGACAAGACTTCAGAGCCACATCAACCTCTGAAAACTGCAGGTTGTTTGGACCTTGCTTTACGCTAGCATCAAAAAGAAAGCAAGGCAATGGAAAATCATAAATATCACTTGCCTATTTCCAAGTTATTAAGGATTCTCCTTATAAAGAATTACTGCTATTAAGCCAGGCACCTAGGATTATATCCTAGCTACTCAGGAGGCTGAGATGTAAAGATAGTTATCTCCAATTAACCACCAAAAAACTGAAGTAGACCTGTGGCTCAGGTGGTAGAGCATTAGCCTTGGGCAAATAAAGCTCAGGGACAGGCTCTGAGTTTAAGCCCCAGGAACAGCTTTTAAAAAAAAAAATTATTGCTATTACTGCTATTATTCTTATATGTGTGAATACTATTATGATATTATGTTTCTAAAGATAATTTCTATAATTCTAAGGTTTTTTTTTCAGTGCTAAGAATTAAACTCAGGGCCTCACATGTGCTTGGCAAATGCTCTACCACTAAGCTACATCCTCAGATTTGTGGCTGCTTCGTGTGTGTGTGTGTGTGTGTGTGTGTGTGTGTGTGTGTGTGTGTATTTGCACAGACACATGCATGCCTGAATTGGGCCTTATAAACCCTTCACCTCAAGCTCTTGTTTGATTTTTCCACTCAAGGTTGCATTTGAGCCACAACTCCACTTCCTGTGGCAACTTTCTTATCTCTATAACTACAAACTGAACCATCCCTGGATCAAATGAAAGGATATCTAGGATACACCTCAAGCTAACAGCAGATAGAGGACAAGAAGAAGGGGAGCTAGACAAAGGAGGTTCACACCTGTAATCCCAGCTACTCAGAAGGCTGAGATCTGAGGATCATGATTGAAAGCCAGCCTGGGCAGAAACTCTATAAGACTCTTGTCTCCAATTATCCACCAAAAAAAGCCAGGAATGGGGTTGTGGCTCAAGTGGCAGAGCGCTGGCTTGAGCAAAAAAAAAAAAACTCAGGGACAGTGTCCTGGCCTTCAGGACTGGCATGCACACACGCACACGCGCGCACACACACACACACACACACACACACACACACACACACACACTAAAAAAGTGGAGGGAAGGGAATGGAAGAAATAAGATTATCCACGTGATGGGTAGGTGGCTCACTACATTATTCTGCCTCTTATATGCTTGAAAATGTCCGTAATCGGAGCTGCAGTTCTCCTCGTGGCAGCTATCAGTGTTGGGCCTCAGCTGTCTGTTCCTCAACTTCAGACAGAGCAAAGATGGGCACAATTCACAACTCCCCCACCAAGGCAGACTAGGACTTGCTTGGTCTTGGCTAATTACAAAACAAAGAGCAGCAACCAGCTGGAACTCAGGTGAAAGATAAGACCCTGAGGCAGAGGGGATGTTTACTCAGTTCTATACTCCCTGTTCTAATCATTGTCAAGGTCAATCACAGATCCCTTTCCATTAGTTTCACCAGCCAAGAAATGTAATACACTAGAATCTCCTTAACTTAAAATGCTTGGGTCTAGGGGCTGGGAAGCTGGCTCAGTGGTAGAGCACTTGCCTTGCATGCATGAGGCCCTGGGTTCGATTCCTCAGCACCACATAAGCAGGGGGAAAAAAAAAAAAAAAAGCTGGAAGTGGCACTGTGGCTCAAGTGGTAGAGCGCTAGCCTTGAGCTGAATTGCTGAGGGATGGTGCCCAGGCCTAGAGTTCATGCCTACAACTGGACCCAAAAAAAAAACAAAAAAAGAAACCAAAAAGCTTGGGTCTAGAAAATTAGGTCTGCTTGGGGAAAAAAATGGCCTCTTCCTTTATTCTCACTCTGTGCACACATAGCCCCTTGCCTAGAAGTCCTGGCCCAGTTCCTCTAGCAACTGGCACACCTAGGGGCAGTAGGAGGTCCCCCAGGCTGAGGTTGCTTCTTCTTCCTCTGAGATCACATCCACATCCACTATGGCCACACCAACTCCTGCCCTCTCCCTGTATATTCGGTCTCCATGACTACTTCCCCCTTCCTACTCTCTAGACAGATCAATCTCTTCTCTCCCTCTCTTCTCCCTCTGCCTGGCCTCCATCTCGAGAGCAGCAGTTTGCTCTCTCCCAACCCTGACCACCCTCCCTCATCTACCCAGACACCATAGCTACACAGTTCCCTTCTACAAAGAGGCAAGCCATCATTTCCATCTGCTAACACCCCCCTGCTGTGGAGCCAGTGTGGCAGCTTGCTGCTCCTTCTCACTGAGCCTCTGCCAAGGGCCCAGCAGCCCCTAGCATTGCCTCCACAGTCAAGTTTCCCTTACGAAATGCTTTCTACCCGTTTCCCAGAGATCTCTACTGATTACACTTCTGGTGCCAACACAGAGCAGCCCTCTAATTAATCCTGTTTGTTCAAAACCAAGAATATGAAACAACACAACTAAGAGGCCCAGCCTGAGGACCTGACACGGGACTGCCCAAGTTCGCAGAATCAACTGCTGTTGGGTGCATAATCACTAATTGTGCACCTACTGTAATCGGTCTTATTGGAATGCCCAGACTCAACAACAGACAACAATGATCAACACAGTTCCCTCTCACTCGATGTGACCATTTAGTAAGTGTTCCACTGGGTAATTAGGTATGGTTTGTGCCGGACAGACAAAATTTCAGAGACAGACCACAAGCCAGCACATTAGTAGGCACAAAATTCAGTCCTCTGTATGGCACTGTGGCAGACTAGACAGAGGCATGGGTGGCACTTGGCAAAGGACTTCAAGAAGGCTCTCTGGCAAGGTGACTGTGTTAAGAGAAACTTCTTTTTTCAGTGGGTCAGGTGGCTTCCTAGCCATGTCCTGGGTACCCTCACCTGGTAGGCCCGGATCAGGGACTGCACAGCCAGGTGGTCCTCCACCAGCTTGCTGGTCTTGGTGCGGCTTGAGGCTGCAGACCTGCTCTCAGGGACGACAGTCAGGAGCTGCTGGTGAGCAGGGCGTGCAGATGCTTCCTTACTGGCTTGCCGGAAGAAGCTGTCCCAGGCCTGAGCAGGGCAAAAGGAAGAAGCAGCTAGGTCAGGGCCTAGGAAGAGTCAGGAGTGGTCTAGGCTGGAGTACCGAGGAGCATCTGGTACTCCTTGGAGCTCATGGTTCTTAGGTCTGTTTAGAGGGCCTCTTCTCTAGCAGCTCAGGCCCCTATCCCACAGTGCAGCTGTCCTCAGGACTCAGTATGGTGGGGAGGAAGGTATAAGTTGTGGCTCAAGTACTTCAGCTGTGATAGGAGCTTGACCCCAGAGAAAACAAGACCTCACACATGGTGGGCTATGGGAGGCCTTTGTTCAGGGCAATGTGGCAGGTAGAGCCTCCACATGTTCAAGGCATGTATCTTTTGAGCTAGCAATTTATCCGTATGTGTATGTATATATGTGTGCCTGATATACATACAAAAAATGGTCCTTGCAGAGCTGGGATATTTATAAAAATGACAATGCAAGCACAACTTAAATGGCTTTTCAATAGGAAAGTGGCAAAACGAATGTACAGTGATCTCTCACCTATCACAGGAGTTATGTTCCAGAGACCTCAGGATGGGTGAAAATCTGCAGTGTAGTAGCATTGGATAGTTGTCCCTTGCTACATTGTGCTTCACTTATGCTACTTCTCAGATTTTTATCATGGGGGGTCTCTGGAACGTAGCTCCTGTGATAGGTTTAGGATCACTATTTACATATTTTCTTTTAAAACCTGTGGTACAGTGAAGCTGCAATAAGTGAATTGTGATACAATGAGGGACGACTATATGTTTAGAATCTGGAAGATTATACAATTGTAAAAAAAAAAAAAAAAAAAATCCAAGCACCAGTGGCTCATGCCTATATCCCTAGCTACTCAGGAGGCTGAGATCTGAGGATGGAGGTTCAAAGTCAGATAGGGCAGAAGTATGTGAGACTCTTATCTCCAATGAACCACCAGAAAACCAGAAGCGAGGCTGTGGCTCAGAGTGGTAGAGCCCTATCCTTGAGAGAAAGAGCTCAGGGATGGTACCCAGGCCCAGAGTTAGAAGCCCTACAACTGACAAGAAAAATAAATAAATAAATAAGAAGGTATATTCATGACCATGGATATGGAATATCATCAAGATATGTTGTAAAGAAAAAGTCAGTGATATGCAGCTAGCTACTCTGTGTAGAAGCAAATTCAGATGTGAATATGCAGATACATCTGTGTGTTTTCCAGGGAAAGAAGTGGCTAGTGTGGGGCTTAGAGGTAAGAGTACTTACTTGTCTAGCATATATGAAGCCCTGGGTTCTATCCCAGCACCACACAAACAAAAACAAAAGTACCTTCCTCCTTTGCTCACTCCCATTTAGGATCTGTGAGAATCAGTTCAAACACACAAACACACACACACACACACACACACACACACATACACACACACGGAAAGCAATCTGGCAAAACCCATCAAATGATACACACAGCTACTCTTGGATCAGACTCTTCCACTGGGAAATTTTCCTAGCTAGCTGTGCATGTGAGAGATGATGAAGCCACAGAGTATGCAAGACTGGATGTGGACCAATGGTCTGTCAACAGGGATAGAATGGCACGATGTTGCAATGGAATAGTATGCAGGTAGAAAAATAACAACGAGGGTCTTTACATACTTACATGGAAAAATCTGGGAGACAGAATGCTAAGTGGAAAAAAGCAAGGGACAAAACAGGATTGTTCACATATTACTATAGCTTACTTAAAAATCTCAGAGGGAAAAAGAAGAAACAGAGTAACTCGAGGGGGAGAGGGGAAGAATGGCAGGTGGGAACTGAAAGTTCAGGAGTGGTTGGAAGTCTTTTGACTTTTCCAAAGTTTTGGGTTCAGTCCATGTGCCTGTTTACTTTCCTCTGAGGAGAAGAGTGTTCCAGAAAAAGAGAGACAGCAACTTCTCCCCCAATCAACTTTTTCCAACCACTAAAAGGAACTTAATCAGATCATGAATCTATAATTTTTTTTTTGTCTTGACTCCTACAAAGACCAATAAGAGTCAGGGCGGGTTTCCACTGCCTGAGCAGGGCACCCTCAGGGCCACTTGGGCGGCAGCACCTTTCACAGCTGATTTCTCAGCAGGAAGGCCTGATGCCTTCCAGCCCCACGTGAGAACAGACCTGAGCCTCTTCCCTCCTCACTGCCCACCGCAGTGCCCCAGGTGTTCCCTTTCATGCAGCAGAAAGGGTGGAGTGCCCACCTGGTGGAGGCTCACATAGTGGGGAGAGTAGGGTGCCCACCTGGTGAATGCTTGTGCAGCGGGGAGGGTGGGATGCCCACCTGGTGAACGCTCCGCGGGTTTTCCAGCCAGGCGAAGTACATCTCCTCCACATAACTGGAGTCGCCTCCACCTCTGCCTCCTGGGAAGGTGGCAGGGGGCCCAGAGGACCAGTTGCGCAGGCCGGGCCCTGGGATACCCCTCGCAGACAGAAGTCTCACTGCCTGTACCCCAAGCCGGGATGGCAGCAGTCTCAGCTGACTCATTCTGCCACAGGCAATGAGAGAGGCATAAATCACAGGACCTGGACAGGAGTTCCAACAGGCATGTGTTCACTCATCACCACCTGGCATTCCCTCTGGATGAAGGGGCCTGGATGAGGCCATGGTGATAAGACAGAGGTCAGAGGTGACAATCTCCCCAGCATCCTGAGTTCACTGCCAGGTCAGGAAACCCCACAGTAGACACAGTCTTGCTGGCCCCCTCCCCCAGACCATGTTCTCTCCTTTCTGGTCCTGAGCCTGAAGAGACCTGCTGCCAGACCCTGCCTGGAGGGACAGGGGGGTGGGAGGGACTAACTCAGGCTCTGGGTCTCATTCCGTAGGTCCCAGGGCTGTGCAAATGGTCCTCCCAAGAAGGGGAACCTGGAACTTGGGTGAGGATGCTCCAAGCACTGACATGCTGTGTGTGGTGAGAAAGAGGTAACAAAGATACAGGGGTGAGGAAGAACAGTGGTGCATTATCTCAAGAGGCCCAGGACATGAGTGGGTCTCCTAGCATTGTGACCAAACCTGACCAGTGGCCACTCTGACTGGAGTACTGGCCCCAAGTGCCTTTCCCCAAGCCCCAGCCAGGAGGAAAGTGACGCAGGCCTAACAACTTGCTTGGTTTAGAGGTGTGCTGGAGGGCAGAAGCCAAAGCAGCCCTGTGCTCACTTGGCTCTTCACTGGAGCGACCCCAAGCTCACACTCCAGACAAATACCACCCAGGTCAGGCCAGGGTAACCAGAACTGGGAGCTTCCCTTCCCCAGCATGACACACACCCACCGTCCCAGGGGCTTCCTCTCCCTAACATGGCACACACCTGCCATCCCAGGGGCTTTCAATGGTGGAGATCTCCTCCACTCCACAGAGGACAGGAGTGGTAAAACTCTCCCCTGACCCTAGAGGACCCCCAAGTCTTGCTATCTGATCAGCCGGGTGTTGACAGGGCCCACTGAGGCCCCTGCTGCCCCAGGTTCCAACCTCCAAGTGTTTCCCCAGCCTCATCCTGAGACTAAGCAGCAGCTCTCCTCTGCTCAGTCCAGCTCTTACTGACTACTGGCCATTCAGGAATGTGTGGATGGAGCTGGGCCCTCCCCCTAACCCCCACCACAGGGGCCATGAAGTGGAGGAAGATCCCCCCACCGGCATGATTCAGTGACCCAGAAAATGTGCTTTCTGGGCATCTGCCTGGACTAGGACTTGATCAATGCCCTGGAGCATACTCTATCAACAGGTGGAGCAACTCCCCCACAGATGGGCAACTCCCCATCCCTGTCATTAGCTCAAACAAGCCACCAGGACCCCACTGGCTACACTTTCTGCAAGGGGCCAAGCCCCACCCCACCACAGGGCTTGATCACAGAGGACAGGAGTCCTTCACAAGGCTGGGGAAAGCCCCTCCCCCCCAGCCTACTGCCTCACTCCTTTTCTCCCCCCACCCACTGCCTCTCCCTGGCAAACTCACCTGAGCTACCGGAATAGGAGGAGGGATCTTCAATCAAGAACAAGCAGGCTCCTCAAGCCTGAAGAAAGGAAAATTAAAAACTCAAAACAACAGTCACTCCAGGGAGGGAGGGGGGTGAGCAGGGCTCTGAGCTCCAAATGCCCTCTCACCTTACCCCCACCCACCCCCCATGGCACATGCCCAGTCCCTACACTCTGGGCTGCATGTCCAGCCCACCTCTGCCCTGCAGCAGCAGCTGCTTAAGGGCTAGACAAACTCGAGGGTCACAACCCCAGCTATGCCTGGCAATCTAGAGCTGCACAGGATCTCTTGGCCCCAACCACCAGGAGCTTCCTTGTCTCCATTCTACACAAGCACAAGAAGCTGATGCTGAACCACCTGAGAGAAGAAGAGGAAGAGCATGTGCTCAGGCAGCCTGACACTGGAGCCGTCACAGTGCGCAACTTTACAGACAGGGAAAAAAGGCAGGAGAGGCTAAGCTTGCAATTGAGGGACTCTGTATGGGTCCAGGGCTCGGGCCTTCCTCAATGCAAATGCCAGGCCACTGGCAGTAGCTGATCCCTCCAGCAGCCCCATCCCCACAGGGGACGAATTCAGGGCAAACTGGGACAAAACCTGGCTGCACCCTAGGTGGGAACACTGTGTTTTGCAAGCTGAATAGTCTGGGCAAGGGGCCTCCACCCAGCCAGACGGGTGGGGACTTAACCAGGGTGGGGGGTAGGGAGGTCCCATATGGGCTCAGTATTTACAGCCAGAACCCACTAGCTAGCCTTGCTAAGGTGCTGTCCAAGGCAGCAGCAAGGAGTTGATATGAAATAGATAAATAAATAAGATACTTTGAGCCGGGCGCTGGTGGCTCACGCCTGTAATCCTAGCTACTCAGGAGGCTGAGATCTGAGGATCGCGGTTCAAAGCCAGCCCGGGCAGGAGAGACCGTGAGACTCCTATCTCCAATAAACCACCAGAAAACCGGAAGTGGCGCTGTAGCTCAAGTGGTAGAGCGCTTGCCTTGAGCTGAAGAGCTTAGGGACAGCGCCCAGGCCCAGAGTTCAAGCCCCACGACCGACAAAAAAAGAAAAAGAAATAAGATACTTTGTGCAAGCCTGGACAGCTCTTGTGGGGGATGTCCTCCCTGGGGACAACGCCAGAGTGATATGGCCAACCCAGAACTATACAGACATTCTTGCCACTAGGCCTCCGAACACACTGGACCCTGTGTTTGACCTGTTCCCCAACCATCCCTGGTGCAGGTTAGTTAAGCGAGGTGCAGGAGTGGAAGGAGGAGAGAGGAAGAGCCCACCTCAGAGTCAGGCAGCCCAAGCCTGGACTTGCGCTGGCCCTGGTCCCCGCACGCCGAGGACTGGGTCGGTGTTTGCTCAGTTGTGTAGTTTGGGGCACTGGAGAGAAGCAGGGCTGGGAGGGGTTGTGCGAATGTCCTTGGCAGAGGGGAAGGGGCTGTGCCAAAGCCAGGAGTAGGAAAAGTACAAAGGCGGCTAGGCCGTTTCCAGGCGCTGCGGGATGGGTGTCAGAGCTGTGCCAGGCAGCTCAGACCCGTGGGGAGGGGGGGGATGGGGCAGGGAGGGCGGGGGCCGGGCCCAGGCTCACTGCGGCCTGTGGGGAGCCAAGTTCCCTGTCCCCCATCCTCCCACTTCTGTGCGGAGGGACCGCGGTTGGCGCCGTCTCCGTGGGTCTCGCCCTCGATGCGGGGGGCCTCGAAGCTGTCGGGCGAGGGCGCGGGCCGGACCCCTGCGTGCGCTGCGCAGGGCGCGGGCGGCAGCAGCCCACCCAGGCCGTGGGAGCCCGGGGAAGCGGTCGGCGGCCTTGCTACAGGTTGGGGACCCTTGGTGACTGCTGAATCTCTGGTCGGCGCGTCACGCCGGAATAAAACGCGCCAAAAGGGTTGAGGAGGGGTCTCTGAGGGCGGCCGCGGCCACGCAGGCGGAGCCAGGCCTCGTCTCCGCCCCCTCCCCCCGCCCCAGCCCTCCCCTCCCCTCCCTCCCTCCCCTCCGCAAGGCCCGGCTCCGGGCGGCGCACGGGGCTCCCCAGGACCTCCGGTGGGCAGAGGAGGAGACGGCCCTACCGCAGGCGAGGACGCCGCAGTGCCGCGGGGGGGGGGGGGGGGGGGGGACAGGCCGCCGCGCTCACCGGGCGGGAGGGGTCGGCTTGGCGGCGCCGTCTGGAGGACGCAGGTCAGGGGGTGCTCAGGGGGCGCGCACCGCGCCGGCCGGGCCAAGTACCCGGGTCACGTGACGCGCGTCCCCGCGAGCGCGCGCCCGGGATCGGCGCGCGGTGACGTCTGGAGGACGCCCCGCCCCGCTGCGCGCTGTCCGCGGTGCTGACCGTGTGCAGCCCGCCCGAGGGCACTGGCCCCGGGGAGCGCGGACCCTGATCCCGCGCCGGCCGCGGGGCTGCACCGCCCGCACCTGTGCGGTCCTGGGTTCAGAAGTCATGCAGTGGTGGCTCTCGGGCTTCCGATCCTCGGCCGGTGAAACGGGAAATGTTATTTTTAAAGTTCCCTTTCCCGGGGCGGGTGGAAAAGATGGGATGACGCCGGGCCGTGCGCGCCACCAAGTCCCATGCCCTTTACCCATGCGCTTTCCGCTCTCCAGGGTGGTGTGGGGCATCTTCTAGCTATTATTGGTTATTGATTGATTGATTTCTCTTTTCTTTTTTCCTTTCTTTCTTTTTGTGCTGATCCTGGGGCATGAATTCAGGACCTGGGTTCTGCCACTTGAGCCACAGTGCCACTTTCGGATTTTGGGGGGGGGGGGGGGTGGTAATTAATTGGAGATAATAATCTCTCCGACTTTTTTGCCCGGGCTAGCTTTGAATCTGAATCCTCAGATATGAGCCTCCTGAGTAGCTAGGATAACAGGCATGAGCCACCTATGCCCAACTTGTCTCATTAGTGTTTTCATCTGCATTTTTTAATGTTGCCCTAAACACAAAACTTTATTGATAAAATACATGTCTTAGATTAACACGTGTAAACAATACAAAATTATAGCTTATTTGTGATTATAATTATGATTATACATAGACAAAGGTGATTATGACCACCAGTTTAAGTAATGAATACTAATACTTTAATCTAGGTAGCAAGATGAAATTAACAACAGTTTTCTTTCTACAAGCTCTAATACTCATTTGACATCCTTAAAATGATCCAGTCTCAATAGAACATCAATCACTGTTGAGCATCTGTGAAATTCATTGTTCCAAAATGGCAGCTTAAAGGATCTCTTTGCCATATAAGCACATTGAAAACCAAAAATTTATAAAATATACTGTTCCTATGTGCAAACTAAAAAAAAAATCACATAAATGTCATTTGGGACAGATCACAAATTAGAGTTTGGTTAGTACTTTCAGGATTTTGACTTTCACCACAAAATCATTGTGATTTGCTGAATTTTTTCCTGGATGATGGAAGCCCTTCACTTTTTATGTTGTCATTTATATTTTCAAAAAGGGTAAGGATATTAAGCAGAATCTCTCTATCCCATTCTTTATTAAAGAGTGAAATCAATTCTGATGGCACTTTACAACTGACTAGCTCTCTTGTCATGGCTGGATTTTCAGTGAAATTTATAATTAACTTCATAATTTGTATCTTGGTGAAGTGATTTCCCAGGAATAACAAAGCAAAAAAGTCTGTTCCTTCAGGGTGCTAAAAAGGGCCTTGGCCTTAGCCTCTAGGCCACCTCCACTCTGAGGTTCTACATGGGCCTCCTTCTTTACACTTGGACTGCTCTTGAGAAAAATATGGAACACTTCATGATTTGCATGTCATCCTTGCACAGGGGCCATGCTAATCTTCTCTGTATCGTTCTAATTTTAGTATATGTGCTGCTGAAGCGAGCACTCATCTGCATTTTTATGATGCCCAATGGTTTGTATCCCATATTGTTTGTTAGTTTGTAGTTTTTTTTAATTAGTTTTCTTTTGAAGGCAGGAATTCCTGGGATAGGAACTCACTATGTCTGTGGTGTAAGGCACCATCAGCCCTGTCCTGAGTTGTTGCCACAGTCTCCTAACTGCCCCTTCTGCCTCCACAGTTTCACTCCTGAATTCAAACCTAAACACAGCAGCCAGAATTTTACTCATAAAACAACAATTCAAACCAAGTGTCCCATGGCTCACACCTGTAATCCTAGCTACTCAGGAAGCTGAGATCTGAGAATTGCAGTTTGAGAAAACTTGGCAAGAAAGTCTATGAGACTCTTTTCTTGCATTAACCACCAAAAAAAGTTGGTAGTAGGGCTGGGAAGGTGGCTCAGTGGTAGAGTGCTTGCCTTGCATGCATGAGGCCCTGGGTTCGATTCCTCAGCACCACATAAGCAGAAAAAAGCCGGAAGTGGCACTGTGGCTCAAGTGGTAGAGCATTAGCCTTGAGGTGAAGAGCTGAGGAACAGTGCCCAGGCCCAGAGTTCAGGCCCATGACCAGACTCCTTTCTCCCTCCCTCTCTTTCTTTCTCAACCTCCTGAGTACCTAGGGTTACAGGAGTGAGCCATCAATACCTGTCTAATAATCTTCATTTTTACATTCTTCATATCATCTTCCCTTCAGCTGCCACAGAAATATTTCAAGAAAGTAACTCTAGCCAGGTGCTTATGGCTCACACCTGTCATTTTAGATATTCAGGAAGCTGAGATCTGAGGATCTCAGTTTGAAGCTAGCCCAGACAAGAAAGAGACTCTCATCTCCAATTAAACACCAAAAAGCCAGAAGTGGAGCTATGGCTCAAGAGGTAGAGCACCAGCCTTGAGCAATAAAAGCTCAGAGGCTGTATCCAGGCCCTGAGCTCAAACCCCAGTACTGGCACAAGAAAAGAATAAAAGACAGACAAGACAAGCAGGAGGGCGGGAAGGAGGGAGGGAAGGAGGGAGTGAGGAAGGGAGGAAGGAAGGAAGGAAGGAAGGAAAGAAGGAACAAAGGGAGGGAGGGAGGGAGAGAGGACGGGAGGGAGGGAGGGAGGGAAGAAAAGAAAAGGAAAGAAAAGAAGGAAAGAAGAGAAAGAAGGAGATAAAGAGGGAAATAAAGAAAATAAACTTACCCAGTAATGAACTGGCAGCAGAGATTCAGAGAACAGAGTTGGATACATTTACTCACAGGTCAGTGGCTGGTGGTACAAATGGTGAAAAGGCAAAGATGAGTCATAGGTTTCTGGGAAACAAGCTGTGATGCAGGTTGGGAGAACAGAAAAGTGTACAAGAAGAGCCATGAACAAACTACTTAAGGAAGAAGCAAAATAACGCAAAGCCCTAGCAAGTCAGGAGGATTTCAGAGCCTGTGTGGTCACAGTGGTCTTTGGAGTCACAGAGGAGATGGAGAGCCAAAGAGGGATAGACAGAGATCACATGGAGGAGGAAAGCAGAAGCCCTAACTGAAGAGGATGGGAGGGGAACCCAAGGGTGAAGCTACAGTCTTGGAGGCCTGTGGGCTGCCTGGTCTTCCCGCCTAATTGATACTTTGCTAATTACATGGATTAAAGCAAACATTTGAGACAATCAGGGCTCCCATGTGGGTGAATGCCATTCTGAGAAGCCTGAGAAGACTTGAGGTGGTGGCTGGGGACTCTGCAAAGATCTTCGGAAACTAGTATCTTGCTTTTCTTCCTTCTTTCCTCATTAGTGTCAGTACATGCAAGTTTATATTTATTTATCCCAGTTACCTAGATTTAAAATAATAGAGAAGCCAGGCGCCGGTGACTCACGCCTGTAATCCTAGCTACTCAGGAGGCTGAGATCTGAGGATCGAGGTTCAAAGCTCCTGAGACTCTTATCTCCAATAAACCACTAGAAAGCCGGAAGTGGCGCGGTGGCTCAAGCTGTAGAGCACTCGCCTTGAGCTGAAGAGCACAAGGACAGTGCCCAAGCCCAGAGTTCAAGCCCCATGACTGACAAAAAAATTTAAAAAAAAATAGAGAAATATCAAGCACAGGATTTAGAAACCTTTCATTTGCTGCCTCAAATCTCTCTCTCCCTCCCTTCCTCCTTCCCTCACTCCTTTCTTTCTTTTTTTTTTGGGGGGGGGGTCCAGTTGTGGGGCCTGAACTCTGGGCCTGGGCGCTGTCCCTCAGCTCTTCAGCTCAAGGCTAGCACTCTACCACTTGAGCCACAGCGCCACTTCTGGCTTTTTTCTTATGTGGTGCTGAGGAATCGAACCCAGGGCCTCGAGCATGCAAGGCAAGTGCTCTACCACTGAGCCACCTTCCCAGCCCCACTCCTTTCTTTCTTTCCGCCCTCCCCTCCCTCCCCTCTCACCCCTCCTTGCTTCCCTCCCTCCCTCTCTCCCTCCTTTCCTTCTTTTCCTTCCTTCCTTCCTTCCTTCCTTCCTTCCTTCCTTCCTTCCTTCCTTCCTTCCTTCCTTCCTTCCTTCCTTCCTTCCTTCCTTCCTTCCTTTCTCCCTTCTTTCCTTCCTTCACCTCTCTCTTTCTCTCACCAGCTACTCATTCAAGAAGATCGGGATTGCTTCCAGAAGTTGCCTATTTACAAGCAGATCTGCTATGAGCAGATTTTTGTAGGAATATACATCTTCATTTCTCTGGAATGAGTGGATAGGTTGAATTTATGGGTCATTATGGTAATCATATGTTTAATTATTTTTGCCTATCCTGGGGCTTGAACTCTGGGCCTGGGCACTGTCCCTGGGTTCCTTTTGCTCAAGGCTAGTGTACTACCACTTGTGACACAGCACCACTTTCAGCTTTTTCTGTGATTAATTGGAGATAAAAGTCTCACAGACTTTCCTGTCTGGGCTGGCTTTGAACCATGATACTCAAATCTCAGCCTCCTGAGTAGCTAGCATTATAGGCATCATACGTTTAATTTTTCTTTTTGGTTGGTCATGGGGCCTGAACTCTGGGCCTGGGCAATGTCCCTCAGCTCTTCAGCTCAAGGCTAGCGCTCTACCACTTGAGCCATAGCACCACTTCTGGCTTTCTCTGCTTATGTGGTACTGAGGAATCAAACCCAGGGCCTCATGCCTGCAAGGCAAGCGCTCTACCACTGAGCCACCTTCCCAGCCCCATATGTTTAATTTTTAATGACACTATTCTTTTTCAAGAGTGTCTGTACCATTTTACATTCTCACCAACCATGTATGAGCAATACTACATCCTTGCCAACATTTGATCTTAATACTGTGTGTGTATATGTGTGTGTGAGAGAGAGATTGAGAGAGAGAGAGAGAGAGAGAGAGAGAGAGAGAGAGAGATCCGTCCCAACAGGACTGTACTGATGTCTTATTGTTTTTTTGTTTTTTTTTTTTTTGTTGGTCATGGGTCTTGAACTCTGGGCTTGGGCTCTGTCCCTGAGCTCTTCACCTCAAGGTGAGTGCTCTACCACATGAGCCACAGTGCCACTTCTAGTTTTCTGGTGGTTAATTTGAGATGAGTCTCATGTACTTTCCTGCCCAGGCTGGCTTTGAACTATGATTCTCAGATCTCAGCCTCCTGAGTAGCTAGGATTACAGGTGTGAGCCACTAGCTCCCAGCTTGCTTTGTTTTTCTTACTGGTGAGCTTGAAATTTCTGTATATAATCTAGACACTAGTCCTTGTTAGATATGTAGTTTGCTAATATTCTTCTCTCATTCTATAGTTTGTCTGGTTATCCTTAGTAAAGGCTCTTCCATTGAGCAAAAGAAGTTCTTAGTGCTGATGAAGTCTAGTTTACATTACATGATTTATGTTTTTCGTGTCCTAGCTAAGAATTTTTTTTTGGTCGTGGGGCCTGAACTCTGGGCCTGGGCGCTGTCCCTCAGCTCTTCAGCTCAAGGCAAGTGCTCTACCACTTGAACCACAGCTCCTCTTCCGGTTTTCTGGCTCTTAATTTCAGATAGGAGTCTCATGGCCTTTCCTGCCTAGGCTGACTTTGAACCTCCATCTTCAGATCTCAGCCTTCTGAGTAGCTAGGATTCAATCTGAGCCACCAGCACTTGGCAAGAATTTTTAAGTAAAAAAAAATGTTTCTGGGGTTGGGAAGGTGGCTCATTGGTAGAGCACTTGCCTTGCATGCATGAGGCCCTGGGTTCGATTCCTCAGCACCACATATGCAAAAAGAAAAAAGCCGGAAGTGGCGTTGTGGCTCAAGTGGTAGAGCGCTAGCCTTGAGCTGAAGAGCTGAGGGACAGCGCCCAGGCCCAGAGTTCAGGCCCCACGACTGGACCCCCCCCCCCAAAAAAAAAAATGTTTCTGTGCTGCTTGGGATCAAACCCAGAGCCTTGCATATACTAAGAAAGAGATCTACCATTTTGTTGCAAGTCCCTGTCTAACAATTTTTCACATCACTCTAGATCCTGAATATTTCCTCCCATTTTTGTCTTTCAATTTTTTTTTATTGTTTTAAAAGGTTTACATTTAAGTCCATCATCCATTTTGAGCTAGTT